CCCCCCCCCCCCCCCCTCCCCCTGGCGCCTTCGTGTCTTCCAACCCTGGCTCTCCGAAGGGTAAGGATGTCGACCGGCACCTGTTTGGACTCCAGAGGGTACTGGCAGCCGGTGAGTGTGGCCTACACGGTTTCGAGGGTTTGTGTCGGACAGAGCGATGCGTGATGGTTTTTGGCAAGCTGTGGTGGGAGCGGTGAAGCTCTTGAGATGCGCTCGAAACATTTTGGGGGGGAGGAGGCGTGATGAAGATGGGTCTGCTGTAGGGACATGCTGTAGCGACGCTTCATCCTAGTTTTATTTTTTCCGCCGCTGTACGTCACGATGCTAGCCTAAACCTGAATGAGGTGTGCGTGGCTTTGAGTGTGCGCCTGCATACGAGCCCATGGCGCTCCGCAACGCTCTCCATCCACTTTGTCGATGTCTTTTGGGCAAGGTCTCCAGCTAAAGTTCCACATCAGCAGGTCTCAGAGCATCACCTGTGGTCTTTACTCCGATTTGTCTTCCCACCAACAGATGAGTCTTGCTCGGTGTTCACCGACCCGGTGTTCTTGCGATCCAAGCACTGGCGAATGAGCACGAGTCACTTGACGCACGAGCAGTTTGATGGGTGGGGTTGGGGCGAAGTTGTGCCTGACGGTGAGTGTCGTCGTGCTTCTTGTCTTGCTTTTTTGCTTCTACCATGGCGATGTTCGCTCAGTAGCCCTACGTCGCAGCGGTATACAATGCTATATGCATAGATAGAAGGACAGTGCCGGAACGCTGGCGGATTTACTCCTCAACGTATCTTGCGTTCTTACGTCGCAGTACTCAACAGTGCTTTGGTAGAAGGGGACAGAGGTGCTCTGACGGACTTCCTCCTCAATAGTCAGGCACATCCAAAACAGCGATGCTTGCCTGCCGTCCCCCACCAACATCAAGCGTTGTACCTACCGATCCCCCACCTATCCTCGCGCCAACCACACGTCTTGCGTGAGACCTACTGCGTTCGACCGCGCACTGCTGTCATGTTCATCCCGTTTATGCTCCCCCTCGTGTCGTACTCTTTCGCCCGTTCTGAAAATTGTGGACACCAACCCTAGGCGTGGGCGTGGCCTACTCGATCAAGAAGCGCTCGCTGCTCTTCACGGTCGCCTGCCGCCGCCGCCCTGAGGGGTGGTCGTCCGGCCTCTGCCACCACCTCCAGGAGGCGTTGCTGGACATGAGGGCCCTGTGTGAGCACGCCGATGGAGTGGGATCTAAGCTGTGATGCCTCGCGGGTCCTCCTGGTCCCCCCGTTGGTTTGGTGGCGGATCTTGCGCCTTGGTGCTGATGATGTGGATTGTAGACTAGGAGCAACGGTGGACTGGGGGTGGAGATGTACATCTCTTTTTCCCTTGTTTTAGAGAATACACACACGACGTAAGCACACGTCGTTTCTGTTTGGCGTTGCGGGTAGCCGGCCCACATATGTATCTCGTGATATGTGGCTGGGTAGAGTGTAAGTTTTTTGCGGTGCGTTGAGCCATAGACTACATGCGTAGCGTTTTTGTCATTCTGTAGAAGAGCAGTGTTTGTATGCGTCTCTCACTATCGTACGCGTTGTGTTTCGCTCATGATGACCACTTTTTTTTGAGTCGTGACAATTGCTATGAGCTCTGTCGGTGCTCACTCCTACACAGAGAAATCTAGGATCCGTCATGAACCAAAAACAGGAGGGAAAGTGTCAAAACTGCACCTTCTTCGCAGACAAAGTGTTGTAGTGATGGGGTAGACTATGATAGGTCAAACTTTGTCGCTCTCGTTGGGAAAACTTTTCCTTGCCTCCGCTGTCGAAGTCCCACGTTCGCTTCGAGGACTGGTTTGCCAAACAAGACCCCGCTTTCTTGGAGTCTTTTCCCTTCCACGAAGGATCATCGCCCAACAAAAAATTCATTTCCAAGTCTTACAGCAGTAGTACAAGTACTTGGATTCAATCTTCGTGCATAAAACGAGTGCACATTCCAACGAACCAACATGGGTATGCATGTGTTGTGGGTACGATTTGGTGGTCTGCAACAACATAGTAGGGCAAGCGAATGCGCTCTCTCTTTGAAGGACCATCGGGGTAGGACACGAGAGACTGCTGTTCGTGAGGGCCATAGGGGTGCTCTGCTCCGGGTCGTTCGTAACGGCTTGCGATGACAGTCTCTTGCGTGCGGAATACTCTTGTTAGCGGCAAACCTGCAGGAAGGTGTTAAACAGGTGTTCCGTGTGGAACCTGAACCAAAGAGAGCATGGACAGGCACAATGATGATAGTTCCTTCAGCTCCTTGGCGTGTGCTAAACGTTGTCAGTGCGGTGGCGTCCGTGGTAGGGAAGCCGTTTCCGCCTCGGCAACCAAAGCCGCACTATTTAGCCCTTTTTTTCTCTCTCAAGTTGCGCAAACACGCCCTCGCTCGGTACGCAACCGACCCGTATGCAAAAGACCTCAATGTGATCGCTGAACTATTCTGGTGACACTGCCCAGCAACGGGAGCGTGCCCTTAGCTAGCTCGACGCTTGGTTTTCGCTTTGCCGGTCGGTCGGCGGGTAGGTCGATTCTTGCGTTTAAGATTAAGAAACAACACACGATTTTTACACTACCACTTCCAGACACCTTGGCGGCGAAATACCGCCTACATGTACGCAAAAAGCACAAAAAAAAATTACATCAAAACTAAACCTGGCAGGTCACAGCAGGACTTCCTCCGCTGCTACCCAACCCACCCATGGCCTGTTTGCTGATCATGAATCCATCGAGTCCTAATCACAACTACAGTAGAGCGTCCTGCCACAGCAAGGAACAGCGAGGCCGGCCAACACGGCTACCGTCTAGTATATCTGCCACTATTGCGGCTGCAAGATTGTGCGTGAAAATCGCAATATCACCCAATAATCCACTATGCAGCTACCCCTCCCGCCTTCACGACAACCCGTCTTCTGCACCATTCTCTGAAAGTTGGACTACCATCATTCGCTGTAACCTTTAGCACTCAAATCATGCCGAACATCCCCATGACCTAAACGATAAACGATATAAAGATTGAGAAACTCTCATCTCTTGTCAGTCGATCGGCCTACGGGTGGGTGGGGGGCGGCATCGCAGCTTTTTCGATCGAAGCAATCACATACCTTCATAGAATCACTAGTACCATCCTGTCTCTACGGAACACCCTGTCTGTCCCCTATTCTCGGGTCGTGCGTTTGCGCACGTACCATACGTGACGCAAGATAACACACACCTTGGATCGATTCTCAAAGCTCGATTGCTCCACGACGAACAGGATGCATAAATGAAACGATGCGTTGTCGAAAAGCTCTCGACGAGACGGCTCTAACTCCGCCATGTTTGGCACCGCCACCACTGTTTCTGCTGTGGAGAAACCGATTTTCACAAAAAATTCATCCAGGGAGGTGACATCTTACATCATGGCACCTACGGTATAGACGTAAGACACAACCATGACATCACTTCTTTCCGTCGGTCTCGACCTTGGCCACGACCTTTTTGGGCAGCAAAATCGCGTGGATATTGGGGAGGACGCCGCCCTCTGCGATGGTGACATCCGCCAGCAGCTTGTTCAGTTCCTCGTCGTTGCGGATGGCCAGCTGGATGTGGCGAGGGGTGATGCGCTTCTTCTTGTTGTCGCGGCAGGCGTTTCCTGCCAGCTCCAGGATCTCGGCACACAGGTACTGTTGTGACCGTTTCGTGTGATACGGAGCAATTGCGTGAGTGCGAATAGCGGGGCACACGGAAAAAAAAAAAGAAAAATGATGTATTGAGCCGAAGCATTGCACATTCATGTATCGGTTGTTAGTGCTTGCTCCGTGAGAAATAAACGAGACCGATGCTTCCAATTGGTTGCTGTACTGTCGTCGTCGTCGTGCCACTTTGTCAGTGGGGAGACACACGACGAGCTCACTAGCGTTGAACAGCGCACGGAAAATATTCAGCAGGTACGTCAATGGTGTGTCCAATCCAGATGTCGCTCTTTCGATTCGATATGTACTGGTCTGATGGGGTACAACGTAAAAGAGAGGACTTCGGACGTCCTTCTGTATGACTCGGCGCGGCCGACTAATGTTTTCGGCCCAGCTGGGACAAGACATTGCTTGCCATCGCAACACCAACAGCGTCATCCAGCGAGCCAAGAAGCCGCTCGAACAATAATAAGAACAATGTCTACCACTACAACGACAATAACCTTTCAGGTCCTGCTTTGAACTCCTCACCTCCATGATAGCGGCGAGGTAGACGGCGCTTCCCTTGCCGACACGGCTTGCGAGCTTCGCCTGTGACAAGGCAAATGACAGCAGTAGTCATTGACAGCGGAATCGTGGAACAGCTAACCTCAGCGGAAGGGAAGAGGATGATGTGAAGGTGGATCGCCTCTTGTTTGCAGTGCCATAGCATAGCCTACAAGACAACTACAGTACAATGTACCTGAAACAGGAGCAGCACCAACTTAACTGCGGCCCGACGTACGTCTCGTCGCGCGAAAAGGATGTGCTGGCATCATTGATAAAAGTCAGTGTACAGGCTTGAACAGACCCTAAATAAGCCCAGTATCCAACTGGTTTCTTCCCACTCAATGAAAATACTCCTACACATCATTTTGACAGTGGTATTATCTCGAACTGGTAGTCTTTCTGTGCGATTATGTATGCACATACTTTCTAACAAGGATGTGCTCTTTCCTCGCCAACTCCTGCGAACAATCTGTCACTTCGCGACATCGCTCTATGCATCAGTTAGTCTTTCTGTGCGAATATGTATGCACATACTTTCTAACAAGGATGTGTTCCTCGCCAACTCCTGCGAACAATCTGTCACTTGGCGACATCGCTCTATGCATCAGTGTGTGCAAACTGCATCATACCTCCTTGAGGTGCCTTGCCACACGAGCGACCGGGAACGTCAACCCAGCTCTGAGGCACATAGCAAAAAGTTGTACGGCAGCAAATTGGAGGGTCAGGAGGATTGTAGGAGCAGTGTTTTTCGTTGATGTTGTCTTTACACTAAGATCGTTCCGGACTCTACTCAGTACCTTCTAACATCCGTACAGGCACAAGGGGATTTTTTTCCTTCGGAGCGGGTCAACAACCTGATGATATGCGTATCATATGTGAATCGAACGTCAAGAGATCGCACGGATCGCGCAGATACCACGAGCTTAGGTACAGCTGATCTGTAGCATTGCTCAGCCTCATTGATGGGCTCGGTACTGGCTAAGGCCTTGCTGCTGTCCAGCGATAGATGGGAAGAGTTATGGGAACCGGTGCGATGATGATTCGGATCTACATTAGCGTTTTTTACCTGTGCACCAGGTGAGTCTTTCGCAACTAGTCTATGCATTTGTCGAGACGATGACACGTGACAGGTTGACTCCGTGTGTTATTACAGTCGAACCTCGCTTAAGTTAACACATGGTTTTTCCCGAAAAAAAGTTAACTTAAGGCGAGGAAGTTAACTTAAAATTCAGGGGACCACAACTCACCATCCCCGGGGCCAATAGAGGCGGTGAATACCTCAATAGACGCGCATTGGGCTCCACTACGTGTTTGACGAGAGAGGAGACTGAAAAAAGTGAGAGGGAGCATATTTTTATGTCCATTTTACTAAACAACACTATAACCAAGATGCTATGTTGGAACGCTTGAACCCACGCACACATTTCTCGTCGATCGCAATGTACAGCCACTCCTGTGTAGTAGTCTCATGCGGTCCCACGCATTCAAGACATACATAGGCCACCCCAAACACAGCTCTGGTCGTTTGTACCGCACACTCTACGACCTCCACATGTCGCGCAGAGTTGCCTGCAGCTCCCCCCCCTCCTTGGCTCGCCGCTTCACTTGAGTTTCGTGAGTGAACGAATGCACAACTTTCGAGAGCAGGTACTGGGTCTCGCGGTACTCCCCATCCTTTCCGTTCGCGTACAAGTAGGAGCAAACCTTCTCTAGGCTACCGCGAACTTCGGCCTCTGTCATCGAAGATGTTACGCACGACTCTGGTCTACCCCCACCATCTTCATCGTCCGTGGAGTCCGGTACCGTGCATGTAGGCTCCTCGCATCGTTTTTTGCCAGGCGCAGACGATGCACCGCTGGATGGAAGGAATCTCTCCATACCCACAGACAGCAGGTGCAGCAGCAGACCTCTTATTGGCGGTCTACAGAGCAGTGAGAGCACTGCTGCTGCTGCTGGTTTTGAGGGGGTCCGTGGACTGTATTTTTACCCCCCCTGTATGCAATACTTTCTGCGGGGCACCATGTTTCCGAAAAAAATTGTTAACTTTACTGGGGGAGTTAACTTAATTTTCGTTAACTTAAGCGAGGTTCGACTGTATAGCATCTCTAGATATACTGCTGTACAGCACTGATAGCTCTGTGTGGTCAACAGACTCAACTGCTATTTGTTTATGCGGGCCATCCTGTAGTTAATCACATAAGACTATTCTGGACTCGTCGCCGGCACGATTTCTCTGCAGGTATGCTGCTGTACCAGGTGCCCCAGCAAGTCTGTAGTCTACACTCGATACATACTCCGTACAACACTGCCTTACGGAGGTTCCTACAATATACGGCATGCATACCTCCTTCTTTGCTGGAGAATGGCGGCGCTCTCGTGTGGTAACCAACAACAACACCGACAACAAGAACAAAAATGACAACTTCACCTGAGCGACTGAGAGATGGAACCGCTGCCCTTGACCCGGCCGCGGCCCCCCTTGTTCCCCCCTGTCTTGACCTTGTTCCTATGGACAGGCCTACAGCAGTACCAACAAGACAAGTCGACGGACAGCTGAACGGTCAAGGTTGTGTTGCCAGTCGGCGTTGAGCTGCTGGCGTTGCATCACTATAATATCTACTCGTCGCGCTTGGTTGGGGAGAACCATTGGACATGGTGTAAGCCGTCGTGAGGTATGTGCACGAATTCGCAGTCTTACTACCACAGCACGCTGGGTTGCAATGAAGAGCATGTTTTCATGGCCCCCTTTGAATACAAATTAGGGCAATCAACACCAACACACCTACCTGAGGGGCGAGGACGAATCTGTCGAGCGAATAGATGCCGCCAGGGTGGAGGAACGTGCAAGAGGAGCTCCCGACATTGGTGCTCGTGTTTTTGTGTCGTGGTGATGGCTGTTGTTGTGAGTTGGTGATGGTGAAGGGTTGTTGTGTGTTGGTTGGATTGTTCGAGCGCCGAAGGCGCCAAGCGCCAAGGCCGGGGGCGGGGGGGGCCAAGAACGTGATCAGACTATGTTCGTTTCGTGCGGAGGGATACAGCGCACATTGGTACCGTTTCACGGAGCCTCCGAGGCAATGCCGGCAAAACAAAAATTATTAAGAAAAAAAAAAAAAACGAAACAGGAAAATGGACCGGTCACGCTCAGGTGCTGTTGCTGTTGGTAATGTTCTTGGTTCGTGCTGTTGGTGTGCTGGTGCTTGGGTGTGTCGAATGCGCAGCAAGCCGTAGGCCGCAAGTGGGATATGGTGCTGCAAGCAAAGAGACAGAGAGAGAGAAAGAGTGTACATGCGGTGAGTTGGTGGACTTCGCGTGCGGATGGATCAACGTAAAGCGTCGTGCAAGCCATGCTCTCCAGTCTGGTGCCACCTCCTTCGTAGACTAAAGTCTTCGCTGCCTTAAACTAGACGTGGTTCCCAATCTACACTCTCTTATTTCTCTCTCGTGTATCTGTGTCCATAGCGCAACGACTTTACGGCGGTCGCGCAGGAGTTTATTTAGACTGTAATTCAAAATTTGAAGATTCCCGCAAAAAAAGCCAGCTCGGCAAAGAGCACCCAGTTCCCAACACCTTAACCTGACTGTTGTGTGGGGAAGCGCGGGGAGCGGATGCAGGAGGAAAGGTGCACTACGTATTCCTCGCACGTCTACTGTATTTAGGAAAGAGAATAAGAGTGGCAGCAGGAAAGAGGTTTACAGTCTTCCCTATGCTAATAGTCTAAAAGAGAGTGGGACGGACGGGCATCAGACTGCAGCCGGGGCACCGGATGCGCACATCGAGGGAAGTTACCTTGAGGTGATGACACAACATGTCACACCCCCTGGACCGAATTTCAAAGCTCGATTACTCCACCAAGAAAAGGATGCCGAAACCGAAGGATGCGTTCCCGGGAAGCTCCCGACGAGACAGTTCCAACGCCGCCATTTTCGACACCGTCGCTGCTTTCCCTGCCGGGAAATCGAGATTCGAAAATCGGTCCAGGGCGCGGTGATAACTTATTCAAAAAACCACGCTTTGGTCTAATTTGATCTTGCGCACACCAACCTAACGGCTGGGGTTTCACTACATAGTCTTGGCAGAGACTTGGCCCTTCACGCAGTAAACAATAACCACCTTTCTAGGTCTTGCAGTAGCCACCTTGAGGCGTAGACCCTATGCGAACGGATTGATTCCAGTCATGAAGGCCGTCACCGATGAAGGCAAGCAAGCAAGCGAAAGCCGACACCACCGACAGACTTCCATGGACTGGCGCGAAAAATCTTAAAACAAAAATTGTGTTCCGCCTGTAGATTCCGCTGCCCCTACTGTATGAGTTTTCAGATTTTCGTCCGAAAAAGTTGGGCATCCTCCTGGCAAACGATACAATGCCAAGTAAGTCGATGAATGCCCCAGTTCCCCTGCTGGCTAAATACTTGCAACGAAACTGGCACGCTAACCCCCCTTGGTCCCATCGGGATCCATTCATTCCTTGATTTCCTGCCAGGCAGATTTTGTTGAAACTACGGCTGTACCACCGACGCTACAGGAGGGCGAGACAAGAACAAGCCACCGAAAAATGGTGCCGAATTAACGTACTCAGGAAATCTCATGCGCCGAGGGTCGGCCACCCGAAACAAACCACGTAGACGCGAATCGACCCTGATCGTCATTGGTGTAGCGCTGACAATCATTCCCACCCACCCTTTCCCCACCCAGTCGCATCATTTATCGTCACTTGTTTAGTGTAGTCTACATCCTAACAGGTGGGATGATCACCCTTTGCAAAGCAGCCATGCCTGACGCGGATCAACGTCACCGTAGACCGCGCTAAAATCATAACAAGCGAAGGTCCACGGATGGATACGGGGTGGACTTCTTCCTTGAAAAAGAAGACAGCATGACGTTATGATTGATTATTGATTCTTGAAAAAAAAACACAACGAAACACGATACGAAACCGAAACAAAACATTACCCCCGGTTAACGCGAATCACAGAAACCGTCTCAGCCACTAACTACAGAGATTGGCAGCGACGGTTTCTCAGCCTTTGTCTTCGGCACCGAGACCTCCCAAGACCTAAACCTCAAACCAAGCGCAAACTCGTTCGGCGGTTGAGAACGTCGTCCGCATCATCCCTTGACCCTGCGGACATATATCCTCCGTGTTTTACTCAAACTCCCTGCGGGCGAATTTCTCCTCGTTCAAGTATTCCACCTTGACGATGTTCGCGCCGAACTGCCTACCGGCGAGCGAGAGAGCGGCCTTCTGCGCGCTGTCCTTGGTGTCGTACTCGACAAACACTTTGCCTGTCATCGTTCAGAGAGCGCAGCGTTCGCGGAAGGCAATTGTTGATATTTTTATTTTGGTGTTCGAGGCTGGAGTTGGTTTTGGATATTTCAGATCGTTTGTCGCTCCGAGGTTGCTGTATTTTAGTCGTCTTCGGCCGGTGGTACGCCCTCGACCTCCCCTGCTGCGATGGCGGGGCTGGCCATCATGAACGGCGACGATCTTGGCGATGCCAGCGAACAGCCCTTGTGTGGTGCCCTCTCGGCGTTGTCGTTGCCGGTGGACCTCTTCTCGAGTACCCGCTGAAGGGAGTGACAGAGAACTACCCCCCTTCGATGATCTGGGCTACGTTGCCGCAACCCTGGCGTGTGCTGCTGCTGTGAATGCTACACGGTCGGTGTTCGGGCACGAAGGACAAGGAAACGGAAGGCGGAAACTGCACCGACAGAAAGGTCACCACTGCTGTATGGCTGGTGCTGCTGTGCATTCGGTGTGAGGCACGCAACATGCATCTAGTTACAGCTGTGCTTAGTGTTTACTTTCACAGTTGACATCGCCATCTTGGCACAACAATTATCTACCCCATCATTCTCGGGGCTTAAGGATGCCGTCGGGTACGCCACTGCCGTGTGGGCATCACACAGAGCAGAGGGAAAGCGAACCACGCTTGGCCGGAAACTGACGTCAACAACAGCCCGCAAAAAATATGGTTGCAAGGCAATGGCATGCACACCAGCCAAACATCGTGTTCTATACGGGGAAAGGTAACCGGTCTCTGAGCTGCACACGCATGTTTTCCCGATGGAGCACAGAGTGGAGCATGTCAGCGTGCGTCGCGCACGATACGACTGATACGCCCGAGATCGCATTCCTCACAGGGATTATATACAAGGCCCAAGTATCGATCGCCGAAACCTCGCACATGCAGATACTCGTTCCCCAATCAGAGGTAGGAGCGAAATCGTCGCCTGGTCCTTTCGCCGGAGAGGGGGAGTGTTGCGTACCCGCTTACGTTGTTGTTGTTGTTGTTTCTCACATTAGCTCTAAAAACGAATGATTGGGAGCCCGTGGTCTCAAAACCCGGCATACAAGACCCCACGAAGAAACAGAAAAAAATAGGGTACAGAAACCACTCGGAAGAGAAACAAAATGATAGAAAGAAAACCCAGCTACCGCACCAAACGAGAAAGAGCGTAAGCCCAGGGGGTTGGGGGGAGTGTACTCATGGTCGTGCATGCCGTTGTCGTTAGACCATTGACCTCGCATCCCTACGAAGCCGGGACGGAGTACGCCAGGCTCTTACCGGACCAGG